TGGCAACCTAAGAGTCTAGAATTGTTCTTGGAATGATAAGGGGTAATAAAGGTTTGTTTGATAGTCACTAAACTAGGAATTCAAAGTGCATAAAACATTAGTGTGCTAGGAAGTAAAGAGATAGAATAATAGAGAAGAGACTAGGGAATTGACTTCACCACAAGCCATATAAACATGCCTAATTGCAATTAACTTAGGGAACAAAGTATACAAGCAACCATGATATGTAGAAATGCAAGACAACTACAATATCTTTAAGAAGTTCACATATTCAAGAATTAAGTATAATTCATCCAAGGTTGGCATAAGTCATCTATCTAAACTAGGGTATAGAATGAAGTATCCTTCCTAAGCTATGAACTATCAAAGTCCTCAATTTGTGTGGTAAGTGCACATGAAGTCAAGAACTAAGCCATAATCCATCAAAGGTTTCCCTAAGCCATGGAATATCAAATTTCTTAAACAACATGCCATTAAAACCATTGTATAATCTCATCTTCATTCTCACTATAAAGATGTAAGTAGCATAATCATGAAGAAACAATTTCTAAAACAAGATAAGAGTCTCTACAAGATTAAATATGGAATGAAACACAAATACATCAAAGTGTATCTCTAGATTAGACAACTTGTTACATAAATGCAAAGTTCCTCAAATATAAATACAATTAATACATATTTACTTGACAAGGGTTACATCAACTCCCTAAGAAGAGGTTTAGTTACCCATGGTAGCTCTTGATGATGGAGGAAGCAAGGCCTCCAACTCCATTTTCGTGCTCCCTTGTGTTCGCTTGAAGAACTCCTCTTTCTTGCTCTCTTCTCTCTCCTCTATCTTCTCAAAATGAAACTTATCCAATTGTGTGGCTTTGCTTCCCTCTTATCTAGATCAAGACCCCAACCAAGGCTCTCTCTCCTCTCTCCAAAAACATTTCCAACCACTCCATAAAGAAGGTAAGTAGAAATAAGGAACCCAGTGCACAAGTGGCTGAAATGAGCCATTTTCGAAGTGCAATCTGCCTGAATTTCGAGTACTCGAAATAGGGCCTCGAGCACTCGAAAATGGAGCAGATTGCTCCATGCTTGCTTTGCTTCGCCCGGACCTACTTTGGTAAAACAGCTATAAATTTACGCTCCAAACTCCGAATGATGAACCGTTTGAAGATTTGGAAAGCTAATTCAGAGGTCTAAAAACTTTATGTTTTGGTAGAGATCCAATTCTCAAGTCTGGTTGGTCGAAATTGAAGAGAAAGACAGAAATTCATTGCTGCCAGACAGTTCTGAGCACCTCTGATAAGAAGATCATAACTCTCTGCTCCAAACTTCAAATGATGAACCACATGGATATTTAGAAAGCTGATTCAGAGCTCTAAATCTTTCATGTTAAGAGGGAAGTCCAGTTCTTGAGTTTGGTAGTTCAAAATGGCGAACAAAGTTTGGGCTTCACTGCTGCCAGAATTTCAGAATTGGCACCTTGATATTAAAAAACTCTACAAAACACCCTTCTTGCTCCTTTATTGCAATTGAACCTGAAAATGCACAAAAACATACAAATGAAAGTAATCTACATAATTAAACGAACAGTGGACTTAACTAATGCAATTAAGGGCGCTTGAATATGCAATATTCGGCGCTTATCAGTTTGGTTTTGTATATATATTAGATATATATATATAATTTTGCATCTATGATTAAGAGAGGAAAGAAATGTCAGCCGAAGAGAAATGAAGTGGAGATTGAAACTGGTCATTGGTGCGGTCCCACTTGGTATAGTTAATGGGTTGGTTTTTGTTGCTTTGTATAATATATGTATATATATATATATATATATATATATATATATATATATATTGTATCTTATGGTGATAAGAAGAGAAGAGTGCATTCGAGGTCAGAGAGGGAGAAAATAAAAAAGAGAAAAGAGATAAAGATAGACTGTAATGATGGTGTGGGTCCCATTAGTTGTTTTTTTTGGGCAAAGCTGAATTAATCACGTAGGTTGGAGTGTGATCGTATATTAATAAATATGATGTGATAAGGAAGAAAAGAAAATAAAGGTAAGAAATTGGGTGGTGGGGTCCATTGAGCTGATATTTGTATTGGGTGTTGGTGGAATTGTCTAATTATTAGAGTATCCACCTTAAGTGTTTCATGCACAAAGTGAGTTTACAGAGAGTGAGTTTTGAGGAAAAACAGAGGAGCCGAGAGTTTGTAGTGGTGGTCTTGGAGCTTGAAGCTTTGATGATCAGTGGGGAATTAATCATTTTTAGAGTAGGGTTCTCTATACCTTGAATGCCATGGGGTGGTTTTGTTTCAAATGGTTTTGTTAAATGTTTTGATTAACTGCATATTTATTTTGTTTATATATTCATATGAATGTGCATATTTTGTGAAGCTATTTTGTTAAACCTCCATGAGATTTCTGTTATGGTTTTTCCAACCGGGACTTTCAGTCTCACCACCCTCTAGTTTCAGGTACCGAAGATGGACGGGGATTGCTAGATTTGGGCTTAGGCTGAAGAGTCGGTGTTGCAGGATTTATTTTATTTATTTTGGAGTGTTTTTTACGTATGTTTGAGGAAATTGATTTTGTATAAAAGAGGGCATTTTTTTGTGATCCTGGGTGTATTTTGATGTACTTGGATTTGTATAAATTGAGGATTTTGTTAGAAATTCGGGTCGTCATAAAATGGTATCAAAGTTGTACCCAGCCAGAAGTGTGAGTGTAGTGATGATGTAGACGGGTGTGAATGGGCGAGTGTGTAGTATTGGTGTGCTACAACTCGTAGCCGGGTGTGGGTGGGCGAATAGCATTCAGATGGTTGGTTAGTGTAGTTAGGCAGGTAGGCCAGATTTATTATTGTTTGTTTTTTTTCATAGGCGGGTGACGCATTGACTAGCTACCACAATGGTTACGGAGTGTGTGGGTGAGTGACTAGCACTAGCAACTACCACAACATTCTACATATCATTGTATCTCACATCGCCTGGGATAGGGATTTGTGGATTTGGTTTTGAGGTTATTGGTGTTATAGTATATACGAAGACTGTTGGATTCGAATTTCAGGAAAGAAATTCTTTTTAAGTGGTGGAGATTGTGATAACCCGGATTTTTTTAGATTTTAATTTATAATTTTATTATTATTATTATTATTATTTTAGTTTTGAGTTCGTTTTCAAAGGAGGTGTAAATTGTAGTTTTTTTATATAGTTTATATATATATATATATATATATATATATATATGTTATATAGAAGTAGCAAGGTGCAGGAAATCATTGGGAAGAGAAATGGGTTTGGTTTGGTTTTGTATATATATTTGTATAATTTTGCATCTATGGGTAAGAGAGGAAAGAAATGTCAGCCGAAGAGAAATGAAGTGGAGATTGAAACTGGTCATTGGCGCAGTCCCACTTGGTATAGTTAATGGGTTGGTTTTTGTTGCTTTGTATAATATATATATATATATATATATATATATATATATATATATATATATATTATACAAAGCAACAAAAACCAACCCATTATATATATTGTATCTTATGGTGATAAGAAGAGAAGAGAGCAGCCGAGGTCAGAGAGGGAGAAAAGAAAAAAGAGAAAAGAGATAAAGATGGACTGTAATGATGGTGTGGGTCCCATTAGTTGTTTTTTTATGGGCAAAGCTGAATTGATCACGTGGGTTGGAGTGTGATCGTATATTAATAGATATGATGTGATAAGGAAGAAAAGAAAAATGAAGGTAAGAAATTGGGTGGTGGGGTCCATTGAGCTGATATTTGTATTGGGTGTCGGTGGAATTGTCTAATTATTGGAGTATCCACCTTAAGTGTTTCATGCACAAAGTGAGTTTACAGAGAGTGAGTTTTGAGGAAAAACAGAGGAGCCGAGAGTCTACGGAGGTGTTCTCAGAGCTTGAAGCTTTGATGATCAGTGGGGAATTAATCATTTTTAGAGTAAGGTTCTCTATACCTTGAATGGCATGGGGTGGTTTTGCTTCAAATGGTTTTATTAAATGTTTTGATTAACTGCATATTTATTTTGTTTATGTATTCATATAAATGTGTATATTTTGTGAAGCTATTTTGTTAAACCTCCATGAGATTCCTGTTATGGTTTTTCCAACCGGGACTTTCAGTCTCACCACCCTCCAGTTTCAAGTACCGAAGATGGACGGGGATTGCTAGATTTGGGCTTAAGCTGAAAAGTCGGTGTTGCAGGATTTATTTTATTTATTTTGGAGTGTTTTTTTATGTATATTTGAGGAAATTGACTTTGTATAAAAGTGGGCATTTTTTGTGATCCTGGGTGTATTTTGATGTACTTGGATTTATTAAATCGAGGATTTTGTTAGAAAATTCAGGTCGTGATAAAATGGTATCAGAGCTGTACCCAACCGGAAGTGTGAGTGTAGTGATGATGTAAACAGGTGTGAATGGGCGAGTGTGTAGTATTGGTGTGCTACCACTCGTAGCCGGGTGTGGGTGGGCGAATGGCGTTCATCGGCAGCCACTGGGATGGTTGGTTAGTATTGTTGGGTAGGTAGCCTAGATTTGTTATTGTTTGTTTTTTTTCGTAGGGGGGTAACACATCGACTAACTATCACAACGGTTAGGAGTGTGTGGGCAAGTGACTAGCACTGGCAGCTACCACAATGTTCTACATATCACTGTGTCTCACATCGCCTGGGAGAGGGATTTGTGGATTTGGTTTTGAGGTTATTGGTGTTATCGTATATACGAAAATTGTTGGATTCGAATTTTGAGGACGAAATTCTGTTTAAGTGGTGGAGATTGTGATAACCCGGATTTTTTTAGATTTTAATTTATAATTTTTATTATTATTATTATTATTATTATTATTTTAGTTTTGAGTTCGTTTTCAGTGGAAGTGTAAATTGTAGTTTTTTATATAGTTTATATATATATATATATTATGTAAAAGCAGTAAGTTACACGAAATCATTGGGAAGAGAAATAGGTTTGGTTTGGTTTTGTATTTATATTAGATATATATATATAATTTTGCATCTATGGGTAAGAGAGGAAAGAAATGTTAGCCGAAGAGAAATGAAGTGGAGATTGAAACTGGTCATTGGCGCTGTCCCACTTGGTATAGTTAATGGGTTGGTTTTTGTTGTTTTGTATAATATATATAAATATATATATATATATATATATATATATATATTGTATCTTATGGTGATAAGAAGAGAAGAGAGTAGCCGAGGTCAGAGAGAGAGAAAGGAAAAAAGAGAAAAGAGATAAAGATGGATTGTAATGATGGTGTGGGTCCCATTAGTTATTTTTTTTTTTTTGGGTAAAGCTGAATTGATCACATGGGTTGGAGTGTGATCATATATTAATAGATATGATATGATAAGGAAGAAAAGAAAATGAAGGTAAGAAATTGGCTGGTGGGGTCCATTGAGCTGATATTTGTATTAGGTGTCGGTGGAATGTCTATTTACTGGAGTATCCGCCTTAAGTGTTTCATGCACAAAGTGAGTTTACAGAGAGTGAGTTTTGAGGAAAAACAGAGGAGCCGAGAGTCTGCAGAGGTGGTCTTGGAGTGTGAAGCTTTGATAATCAGTGGGGAATTAATCATTTTCAGAGTATGATTCTCTATACCTTGAATGGCATGGGGTGGTTTTGCTTTAAATGGTTTTATTAAATGTTTTGATTAACTGCATACTTTTTTTGTTTATATATTCATATGAATATGTATATTTTGTGAAACTGTTTTGTTAAACCTTCACGAGATTCTTGTTATGGTTTTTCCTACTGGGACTTTCAGTCTCACCACCCTCCAGTTTCAGGTACCGAAGAAGTACGGGGATTGTTAGATTCGGGCTTAGGCTGAAGAGTCGATGTTGTAGGATTTATTTTATTTATTTTGGAGAGTTTTATGTATATTTGAGGAAATTGACTTTATATAAACGAGTGCATTGTTTTTGTGATCCGTGGTGTATTTTGATGTACTTGGAATAGTATAAATCGAGGATTTTGTTAAAAAATTCGGGTCGTGACAAAATAATATTAGAGCAGTACCCAATCGGAAGCGTTAGTGTAGTGATGATGTAGACGGGTGTGAGTGGGCGAGTGTGTAGTAATGGTGAGCTACCACTCGTAGCCGGGTGTGTGTGGGCGGATGGCGTTCATCGGCAGCCACTGGGATGGTTGGTTAGTGTGGTTGGACAGGTGGCCCAGATTTGTTATGGTTTGTGTTTTTTTAGTGGGCGGGTGACGCATCGACTAGCTACCACAACGGTGACGGAGTGTGTGGGCGGGTGACTAGCATTGGTAGCTACCATAACGTCCTACATATCACTGTATCTCATATCACCTGGGATAGGGATTTGTGGATTTGGTTTTGAGGTTATTAGTGTTTTCGGGTATACGAAGACTGTTGGATTCGAATTTCGGAAATGAAATTCTTTTTAAGTGGTGGAGATTGTGATAACCCGGATTTCTTTAGATTTTAATTTATAATTTTATTATTATTATTATTATTATTATTATTATTATTATTATTTTAGTTTTGAGTTCGTTTTCAGTGGAGGTGTAAATTGTAGTTTTTTTATATAGTTTATATATATATATATATATATATATATATATTATGAAGAAGCAACACGGTGCACAAAATCATTAGGAAGAGAAATGGGTTTGGTCTGGTTTTGTATATATATTAGATATATATATAATTTTGCATCTATGGGTAAGAGAGGAAAGAAATGTCAGTCGAAGAAAAATGAAGTGGAGATTGAAACTGGTCATTGGCGCGGTCCCACTTGGTATAGTTAATGGGTTGGTTTTTGTTGCTTTGTATAATATATATATATATATATATATATATATATATATATGTTGTATCTTATGGTGATAAGAAGAAAAGAGAGCAGCTGAGGTCAGAGAGAGAGAAAAGAAAAAAGAGAAAAGAGATAAAGATGGATTGTAATGATGGTATAGGTCCCATTAGTTGTTTTTTTTAGGCAAAGTTGAATTGATCACATGGGTTGGAGTGTGATCGTATATTAATAGATAAGAAGAGAAGAGAGCAACCGAGGTCTGATAGAGAGAGAAAGGAAAAAAGAGAAAAGAGATAAAGATGGATTGTAATGATGGTGTGGGTCCTATTAGTTATTTTTTTTGGGCAAAGCCGAATTGATCACATAGGTTGGAGTGTGATCGTATATTAATAGATAAGAAGAGAAGAGAGCAGCCGAGGTCTGAGAGACAGAGAAAGGAAAAAAGAGAAAAGAGATAAAGATGGATTGTAATGATGGTGTGGGTCCCATTAGTTGTTTTTTTTGGGTAAAGCTGAATTGATCACGTGGTCTGGATTGTGATCGTATATTAATAGATATGATGTGATTAGAAAGAAAAGAAAATGAAGGTAAGAAATTGGGTGGTGGGGTCCATTGAGCTGATATTTGTATTGGGTGTTAGTGGAATTGTCTATTTATTGGAGTATCCGCCTTAAGTGTTTCATGCACGAAGTGAGTTTACAGAGAGTGAGTTTTGAGGAAAAACTGAGGAGCCGAGAGTCTGCAGAGGTGGTCTTGGAGCTCGAAGCTTTGATGATCAGCGGGGAATTAATCATTTTCAGAGTAGGGTTCTCTATACCATGAATGGCATGAGGTGGTTTTGCTTCAAATGGTTTTATTAAATGTTTTGATTAACTGCATATTTATTTTGTTTATATATTCATATGAATGTGTATATTTTGTGGAGCTGTTTTGTTAAACCTTCATGAGATTCTTGGTATGGTTTTTCCTACTGGGACTTTCAGTCTCACCACCCTCCAGTTTCAGGTACCGAAGATGGACGGGGATTGCTAGATTCGGGCTTAGGCTGAAGAGTCGGTGTTGCATGATTTATTTTATTTATTTTGGGGAGTTTTATGTACATTTGAGGAAATTGACTTTGTATAAAAGAAGGCATTTTTTTGTGATCCTGGGTGTATTTTAATGTACTTGGATTTGTATAAATCGATGATTTTGTTAGAAAATTCGGGTCGTGACAATTTATTTATGCATTATAGATATATGTGAAAATCATGAAGTTCTAAGATATGGGATTCATGTAAATTTGTGATTAATGGTTTTCACGAATTATTAAAGTTTACATACAATAGTACTATTATTTGATAATTGAAAATAATGAATGATAGATAGTTTAATATATATTACACATTATGTGTTTCAGTTTTTGCTAGATTATTAATTTATATTATTATTACGTCAAATTCGTATTTGTTTATAAATTAAAGTCTAATTGTTTATTTGAAACTTCTGTAAATTTTGAATTAAATATTATTTGTGTTTAAGAAATTTTGAAATAAAATAAAATAAAATGAAAACCTTCTTTAAATTGCTGTTATATATAAATTGGCAAAAATTTGGTATATCTAGCCAAATTTTTTCCAATTTATTTTAAAATATATATATAATGAATAGTAAAGAGTTCGAACCTCGGTGTAGGTAGAGTATGTGCGTAATTGTTTTAAATTCCAAATATATATATATATATATAATGAATTGTAATTTTTTTTTTTTTTTTTTTGGGGCTTAAATTAATCTTATGATTGCTTCAAAGTTTGGCCCCCAATGGCGTGCGCTGCCGACTTGCAACTGGATTCACACTCTCCGGTCCCAATTCAGAGGTCCGATTTTAGGTGCTCTCTGGATTCCAATGTCGCTGCATTAACATTATTTAAATAAATCTTTCAATATATATATATATATATATATATATATATATATATATATATATATATATCTATTTGTCTATAGGTAGAGTAGTTGCCCAAAAGAGTGTTCTTTCTTTTTCTTTTTCTTTTTTTTTTTTTATTTGGAAACTAAAATGTATTTTTTTTTTAAATATCTATATTATGTTTTTTTTTTTGGTAAACTAACCTTTGTTTCTATTTTTTTTTTTTTTTTTTGGGTAAATTCTATATGAATGACTTTGTAAAAATAGTGATGGCTATGGGTTCTAATTTTTTTTCCCTCCCAAGTGGTTGTGGTGTGGTGGTGGTGGTGGTGGGGGGTGACCATGGTTTGTTTTCTGCTCTTCAGCAAACACAGAAAAAGAAAAATATCAGCACACAACACAACAATATATATATATATATACACACACACACAGTATCACTGGAAAGGAAAAAGGATAAATAACAAAACAGATCAAAACACAATGTGCGACACATTCCAAAACGTGATATAGGAAATTCATTCATTGTGTTCACATTTAGATTTTAGTCTATTTAGGTATGTCTTTTATCTTTTCCACGCCACTCTTTTACACCACATAAATAAAACCAAAAATGTTCTTCCACAGGAAAGCAAACACAGAAAAAGAAAAATATCAGCACACAACCAAACAATATATATATATATATATATATATCACTGGAAAGAAAAAAGGATAAATAGCGAAACACAATGTGCGACACATTATTTAGATTTTAGCCTATTTAGGTATGTCTTTATCTTTTCCACACCACTCTTTTACACCACATAAATAAAACCAAAATTGTTCTTCCACATGAAAGCTAGCAAACACAGAAAAAGAAAAATATCAGCAGACAACAAAACAATATATATATATATATATATATATATACACACACACACATATATCACTGGAAAGGAAAAAGGAAAATAACAAAACAGAGCAAAATACAACACAAACAAAAAAACAAATTAGAAAAGCAATTAATGCTAGCTCAGATCATCCTCTAGCTGTTATATTTGGAACGTTTTAGATTCTCTCTCATCCATTATCATTTGCGCGCCATATTTCAGAGGGTCCACCTTCAATGTATATATGTATGCATATGGGATTATAATCTGGAACTTTTTCTTTAATTTATTTTTGGCTAGCCTCATTACGTAATGGTTGGATTGGGAAAAAATATCTCTTACACATGGTGTCATTTGAGCGCCAAATTTCACAGCCCCACCTTCTACTCACTTATTTCGAGGACTGTTTGATAATATATTGTTTATATATATATATATATATATAATATATTATATATGCAGTTGTATAATCTGGAAAGTTATTTTTTGCTAGTAATAGTCATGTGCGTGCACATGCCTAGTAACAAATTTTTTAAACTGCCCTTTGGTCTCTCCAAAATGTTCTTATACCATTTTACACATAATCACCATTTTCCTCTATTTTAATTAGGGTCCTTTGATCAATTCACATTTATTTTGTTTTTCAAATATATAAAGTCACTTTAGCCTTTTAATCATCTACTGACAACATGCCCTTGTCCGCACAATAAATAAAGATTAGGGACTACCCTATTTGCATACCATATGAGTATTTATTACTCGTGACTCTTTAAATTATCATCAACCAATATTCCTTCTAAAATTTAAAATATGTAAAATAAAAAATAAAGAAATTTTTTTTTAATTTCTTATATTTAAAATTTTAAAAAGACAAATGAAGTTTTCATTAACTCTTGCACCTTGTATTTTAGTCAAAACCTGGTTGATAAATATTGTTTCAAGGTCAGTTGCAGGGAATGAAGATGAGAAAGATGAAGATTTGCTAGGAGTGCTAAACACTGGTACTGGAGCTGTATGTCACGAAGTGATTCCTAAGACGCTTGCAGTATAGAAGACACGAATACTGGTTGGCAAAGAGCAGAGTTTGACTGTGAATGGTTCCAGGAAAAGGGCGTGCAGGTGCACAGGATGGTACCTCTTCAGAGTTCAGGCAAGTCAACTCGGTTGAGTGCGAGGAACTTGTCGCTGGTCGTGCACTTGACTATGAAGAAGGGAGTTGGCCATCCCTGCACAAACTGGTCAGGAGCTGGAGCTGTTTTCCTAGCGAGGCCAAGGCAGGCCGAAACCAGTCAGCATATATATATCCTTGGGAGGGCAGGTCGTGGTGGCTGACTAGGGCGCTTGCGCAAGCTGAAGCAACGCCTTGGTGCTGCACGAGCCATGCCGCTGCGCCAAATCACTAGGCCCGTGACAAATGGTATCAAAGCAGGACTTGGGGTAAGCACGGCGGGTGCCCCCTCGTCGATCCGGGAGGGGTCAGAGAACGAAGATGATGCACTGAAGTTGCGTTAATGAGGAGGAATCAATGCAGTTGGGGGGAGAGCCTCCATCTCCCCAGGAAGAGGCATCCGTTGAAGTTACGCACCGGAGGGCCGGTGGGCTACGCGTACTATAATACTCCTAATTTTAAAAAGAATAGTCTCGGTAGTTTATTTTATGGTTTTATTGTAATTTTTACATTTTTATGTGGTTATTTACTTATTTGCTTATTTGTTTTAATTGTTATTAATTAATTAAGTTAATTGCAGTCTTTCTTTTATTTAATTGAATTATTTTCATTGAGTATTTGTTTGAATTATTTTCTTTGAGTATTTGTTTGAATTATTTTCTTTCTTTAATGTATGTTTACGTGAAAATTTGATTTAATTGTTTTACTGGTTTCTTATTCATCATTATTTTATGGTTTTATTTTTCTTCACAGTTAGCCGACTTAGAAATAATATGAATGGTTCTTTCCCGTCTCTAAATTAAACTAGAATTTTGATTTTTAGTGAAGCCTATAAATAGAACTGTATGCCAAGGGTTTTATAAACCCTATTCATGTACATAGAGAGATGGAGAGAAACAGAGTACTTCGTTTAGGGTTTAGCTAGGACTAAGGCTAAACTGATGAGAGATTAAAGGGGTGTGTTCGAGGGTTAGACCAAGGAGAAGACAGAGAGATAAAACAGAACGTTCACCGGAAACCTTAGGAAGACGACGCTGAGATTTTGAACCGAAATCTCAAAGGCAAGTTCTACTCCTAACTCTTTTCCTTTGGCTCATGTTCTTTACATGCTTAATACAACTCCAGGAGTAAATAAACATCAAAGATTAATCTGGTTTGCATGATAGATTAGATAAAATCTGTATGTGTGCATGAATCCGTATTTGCTTATTTTAATTCTTTTGTGCATATTTCTTGTTCTAATTGAAGTGGATTAATGGTTAATGAATTTTAAAATCTCTGGAACACATTAGAACTTAATTCTAATCAGTAGAAACTTTAAAAATTGAGGACAGTTAAGCTGGACGTCGCTGGAGGTGAAACAGGTGAAGGAAAAACAAGCAGTATGGATTCTGTGAGAAGAGACGGCTCCCCACAAGGGTGGAACCGGCTCTAAGGCTGGTAGAGGTGGCTCCACATGGTGTGGAGCCAACTCCACACAAGGGGGAGGCGGCTCCACCCCCTTTTGATGCGTTTTTGGCAGATTTTTGCTTCTGGGTTTGGTTTTTGATCTTTCTAAAGTATTCAGGGACTGTACATGGGAACCTAGATGAGTTCTGAGGTTATATTAAAGCTTCAAAGGGTGTGGGAATGGATAATAAACCATTTAGGGTTTATAGGTTGAACAGTAAACAGTTCTTAACAAAGTTGTAAACTATTAGTGGATGCAAGTGGTTTAAATTGCTTATGTTATTCTAGCAATTTTCTGTGAATAATTATCAAATTCTAATCATATATTAGTGGTATAAAATAAGCATGTTAAAATCTATATATTTTTACTATGCTTGTTAAGGAATAATTGATGTTTAAATTTCAGCATTTATCGCATCAATTGTTGGGCTGGTAATATGAGCATGATAATTGGCCAATGTTTATTATGTGTGAATTGATGTAGATATTTATTCATGTTCTCTCAATTATATGGATTCTGGGGATAAATTGATATTTACATATACTGTTGTATTGTCAATTGTTGGATTTTTGGTTGTGTAGTGTAAAATCAGCATATTAAAATACATAACTTTGGTATGCTCATTATGCAACGATTGATGTTTAAATTTAGATTTTTATTCTCAATTGTTGGATTTATAGATTAGTTGGTATTTACATTCATTATCTGTATTATCAACTAATGGATGGATGGATTGTATGCACCGGTATGGGACGGTGGCATACTAGGGACGGATTAGTTTCAAAATACTAAATCCCACCTATGCTGAATAAGGGAATGGATTATAAAATAAATCCTACTTATACTTGAGTCAAAAAAGCTGTACAAGCTGAATGACTAACTAGACTTCTGGTTAT